AACACAACGAATAAATCTTTAAACCTTATAAACAAGTCGACATTGACACTGGTTGACAGTTCTTTTAGACACTTTAATGTGAGTGTGAGTTAACATAATATAACCTCTTACATCGCCCAATAATAGAATAATTTTTGCTGAGTTTTTTGTTTATTATTTACTCTGTTACTCCCGTATAATTATTCCAAGCTATAATTTCGGTTGCACGGAAAACTTTACTCGAGATTTAAATAGTTTATCTCTGGTATAGTTAACCGTATTTAGTTCGAGGTTTGGTCGAATCCATCCTAAGTGTTAACATATCAATAATTGTACAAATCTAGTAATTAAGCTTTTTTATAATATTAAAGTAACAAGATTCAAGTGTCAACTTCACCTAAATGAATGAGCTAGGTGATTATGATATGATGATGAATAATTTTAAAAGGGCTGTACCTAAAACCTAAATTATTTAGACCGATGGATGACGAATCTATCTACGAGTACCAAACATTATTATTACAGTAGTGAGTACTCTTTTTCTAGAACCTTCAAATTCGCTGTTGCTAAAATGTGAAAAGATTTGCCACAACCAGTGTGTTCTACCCTATCTCCATCTACCTTCCGGCAAAAATGCTGCTATTGGCTAATTCTACAGAAGTATTTGGCTTTTTGTGGCTAATAGAGCTTCTCAAGTTAGTGAATTCTTTTTTTTAGTATTTATTAGTTTAATTCTAAGATACGTGTGTTTCATCATTTGCCTAGAACCTTGCTGTGGTACAAGGGCGACACTGAAAGTTCTTAGAAAATCAAAAACTGAACAAACTAGCAAGTGGCACACAATTGTTAGTGTACTACTCTCCAGTAACTGTTTTTCGATCCTCTAAAACAATTGTTGCGTAATGATCTGTCTTTCCGAAAAACGAAGCCACCATCTTTTTTCCCACGCTTCGACTTTTCTTCACTTTAGTTGGCAACTCTTCGGAAAAAACACCCAAATAGAAGACTGTCTCTTAGTTTCAGGATCATAACAATAAATCCAGCTTTCGTCACCCGTAAGTACCATTTCACGACACCAATTAACAGGACGGAGTTTTTGGGCCTCTGTCATAATATGAGGTATCCACCGGGCACAAAGCTTCCTGTTCATGGAGGATTTTGTGACTTGACTCATACCGATACCTAAGCTTGTACGATTCTGCTGAAAAGTCACTCTTTTGTTAGTCTCTATCATAGGCCGCACAACACTGATGTTATCTTCAGTCGTCGCCGTAGAAGGCCGTCCTTCACCCAGATCGTCGGTGAGATTAGTGCGACCACGTTTAAGCTCATTAAACCAGTTGTAAACAGTGGCACGACATGGGGCTTCATCGTGAAAGGCCAATTGAAACTATCATAACTTTCTTGTTGACTTAACTGACATGGAAATTCATAAAAAATCATTGTACGAAATCAAGACAATTTTCAATTTGCCATCAAATCGTAAACAAATGACAAATTAATAAAATACATACAGCATAATATTGGCAAAGAGTTCCATTTTCTAAATTTGAACTTATTTTATTATTATATTGCGTACAAGTGTCCAGTTCTAAAAACTTTCGTGTGTGAAAAAGTGTCGCCCTCGTAGTATAAAACGAGGTTTCACGTTACATCTGAGTAACAGACCGTTTTATTAAAACTAATTATTAAGTAGTTTCTGTTTAAGAGGCTAGTAAAGCTGTAAATTTTCATACAAAAAGCGATAACGTTTTTACCCGCGTAACATAGTTTAATCTTCATAATTTTGGAAATGTTGTAGATATATTGAAAAACTAGGTTCGTATGTTTTTATTTTAAAGAAAAGCGTACGATATAAGTTAATAGCAAAAATATAGATACGTAGCTATATTTCAGACTTAAAAACTTTCATTAGCGTTTTTATACGCTATGTTGCTAAGCTAAGCTAGTAATTTATGTATTTCTATTTGTTAATCAATAATATAATACGTCTATCAATAATAATATACTAAGAAAGGAACTTCGTTCCAACCGAGTGTTCCACGACACTCACGAATGTTCCTTTATTTAAATTTCCCTGTACCAGAAATGTCTCCTGTATTATTGAGATATTATGCATAAATGTTTTTCTTAATAATACTAGCAGTGCAAATCACACTAATATTCCCTTTAACCACCCATTCAAACTTAAAATGCTTGTGTAAGGTATGGTTCACTACAGTTGTCTGCGTATTCTTTAATACGAGCATATTAAAATTGCGTAAGTCCCGCCGCATACATTTAGAGATCTGTCTGTTCAGTTGCCTGTATGCTATCAAATCTACTGAAGACTGCAGCTTCATTTCCCGTCTAACAGCCATGAGATTAAGAGTGTGATCGGAGAGTTTTTGTGTTCTTCTGCGGCGGGTCATACAAAACTTAGTTCCGACCGCATGGGCAGTTTCCATGAGCTTGTCATTCATATTGCCCACTACATTGCAACTTTCTAGGCACTGAAAACGGTTTTGTAAATGGTTTCGGGACTTTGGATTTGAGCACGAGGGGGACGGAGCGTTGACTTCATTAAACGAGATCTCTCCAACTTAACGTCTAGGTTCAGTGTGTCTCTCACCATTCGGTGATCGCTGCCGGTTTTCACCCTCGCGATCACTGAGAAACCACTGAACAGTTGTCATCTGAAGGCCATAATGAAGTCAATCTCATTTTTTCGACCAGGTATACTTCCTATAAGGCCGTTTCTAGAAGAAAGAGTTCATCATAAAGAGTCCATCTTTCTCCATGAAGTCGGCCAGCTGTTGGCCCCTTGGATTCCGTTGCCCTATTCCAAATTTCTCTACCTTCAGCTCACTGTTCTCTCTTGTGCCTAGTTTTACGTTGAAGTCTCCCATTAACTTCGTATAGTGGGTTTTGGAGGAATGCATGGCTCTAAATATATATTCATACATTTCCTCCACCTCCTCATCGGGATGTGCCGAAGTTGGTGCGTAAACCTGTACGACCTTCTACGAATACCGTTTGGTGATTCTGTGTATAAGGTACGCAACCCTCGTCGACACACTCTCAATCTTTACAACGTTATTAACGAGAGACTTGTGGACGATAAATCCGACATCTCCTTGGGACAGATGGTTGCCTTCCCAGTGATAGAACAAGTTGCCGGGTTCGAGGATTACCATGTTCCTCCCCTCTCTTCGGACCTCAGATAATCCGATAATGTTCAAGCGCAACTTGTCTTTCTCTTCTTCAAGCTCCAGGATCTTCTCGTCAGTCCTCAGGTTGCGTGCGTTACATGTTGCCAGGTCGAGTAGCCTTAGGTTGCAACCAATCGTCCACCGGAAATTCTGTTATCTCATATTGTTGTCTACACCAGCGGTCGGCAACCTTTTGGCGGGCAAGGGCCACTAGGTGGCAAAATAAACTAAAGGCGGGCCGCACTTGTGATTTACACACTTATTTATTCATCAAATCCCATAGAAAAAATGAAAATGCCATTCAAATTGTTAAAACATACGGAATTTAATTCGTACATGTAATTACATTACGTTTATAGCTAGAAAATAACGGAATTATTTTCTAGCTATAAACGTAATGTAATTCTCAATCTCAAAACTCAATGTCTGAGGTTGTATTTGGGAGGCTATTTCTTGTATGTTAGCTGTCATATTTGTAGTTGCAATTCGTAGAATGGCTCTCAAATGCTCATCTGTGAGACGAGATGCACATTTATTTTTTCTGTAATTGACAATTGAAAAAGTTTGTTCGCATAAATAAGTGCTACCAAAAATTGTAATGAACTGCTGAGCAAACTTTTTCAATTCGTCAAAATCAGAAGGCAAGCTACCATAAAACTTAACAAGATCTTTGAGTTCATAGAAAGTGCTTTTAAGAACATCATTAGACTGGAGATCAATCATGTTCATTTGTAAATTACTCGGTACTTCCTCAATATCACATGAAAAAGGGTTTGCAAACACCTTCAGTTTACTTGAAACTTTTTCAAAATCACCAAATCTGTCGCTGAATTGAGATTGCAGTTGTATTAAAATATCCTTCATTTTATCAATTTTCCAATGAAAATTAATTCCAGCTTCCTCAACAGCCTCTTTACAATTCGGAAAATGATCCAACTTTTTTTCGTCAATATGTTTTATAAAGAGTTTAATTTTCATTTGAAATGCTTTTACGTCTGTGTACATATCAGAAATTAGTTTTTTTTTACCTTGAAGCCTCACATTTAGCGTATTTAATTCATGAGTTACATCTGTCAAAAATCCAAGGTCTATTAACCATTGAGTGTCTGTCAGCTCTGGAATAGATTTGCCTTTTTCATTCATAAAAGTATGGATTTCTTTTCTGAGATCAAAAAATCTTTTTAGCACTGCGCCTCTACTTAACCATCGCACTTCAGAATAATAAACAACATCTCGATGATTTGCTTCCGTATCTGACAGAAACTGTTGAAATTGACGATGAGTCAATCCATTTTTTCTGATGTAGTTTACAGTCGATACCACGATGTCCATTACTTCTTTCCATGATACGACCTTGGAACATAACGCTTCTTGGTGGATGATGCAATGGAAAAATAATGGGATGGCACATCCTATCTCTGCCAGTTTCGATTTGATTCTACCTACCAAACCCTTATTTTGTCCACTCATGTTCCTGCCTCCGTCAGTTGTAACACTTACCAATTTTTCCCATGGTAATTGCATTGATACTAGCGCTTGTTCTAAGTTACAAAACAAATCTTCTCCGATAGTCGTGCCCTTCAAACTACATAAATGTAAAAGCTCCTCATAGACATTAAAGTTCTTATCGATTCCGCGAACAAATATTAAAAGCTGGGCAGTATCAGTAACATCATTACTTTCATCGGTAGCTAAAGAGAACCATTCAAATTGTTGTGCTTTTTCCCGGAGTTGCTGACATAAATTATCGCCCAAATCTTCAGTTCGCCGGGTACACGTTCTTGCAGAAAGACTTATATTTTCAAATTTTTTTTTTAGGTCGGGGCACACCTACTCAGCCATGACTAAAGCACATTGTTTTATAAGTTCGCTGTCGGTAAATGGTCGGCCAGACTTCGCAAGAATTTCCGCTACCCTTAAACTTGCACGTATATTCGACTCGTTACTTTGTACTTGAACCTTAAAAACATTTTGTTGATTCTTAACTGAAGATTTCAGTGCGTTAATTTTATTTTTTCGTGATTCACCCACTACGCATGCAAATTTAGCTTTATGCTCGCTATCATAGTGGCGTTTGACATTATATTCTTTTTGTATAGTAAGGGTTTTTTGGCATATTAAGCATAGCGGTTTGCCATTGCAATTAATAAAAAAGTATAAATCTGTCCATGCATCGTTAAATACCCTATTTTCTTCTGCTAACTTCCTTTTTTTAGAAGCCATTATCAACTGTAACAATAAAAGCATTATTACCAGACCAAGCTTACGTAGATCGGTACCTATCAAAAGTGTATAATAAAAAGTAATCTCACACTTACCGAAATCAAAACAAAAACGCAACAAATGAAATTGTTTCACTAATCACGCATCAAAGTAGGTAATTGACGGAGAGCGGAAAGCAACTGTCCTCGCTAACGTTCGTTTGTTCCGGCCGCGCCCCTCCCGCGCGTCGTTCATTAATTATTGTTCATTCGCGAGCCAAGCGAAGCGGGTTCCACACTACTATACGGTTGTGCGGGGTTCGCGCGCGGCGGACCGATAGTCCGAGATTCCTATTTATTTTACACTTATAATGTTTGCTACAACATAATACTTTTAATGTTACAGTTATGTTAAATACGCTAAATGTCAGGCTTCAAGGTAAAAAAAAACTAATCTCTGATATATGCTCATTTCATCCGCGGGCAGAGCGAAGCGCGTTATACAATATTGACTATAGCTATACGCTATATGTTTGTGGTTCGTTTATGCATCTATTTTGATATTATTAGGATTTATTTACATAACATTCACGGGCCGCAAGTAGAACGTCCGCGGGCCGCGCGTTGCCGACCGCTGGTCTACACTGATAGTTAAATTGTTTTAACTTTAATTAATACAGAGCCATACAAACTGAAACCTTTTGTTGCGCATCGAGTAGTTAAAATAACTGACGCAGTTTCACCTTCTAGCTGAAGGCATGTTTCGATTCTACCAGCCGAGGTCTCTCGTGTGCAGAGTTGGTCAAATGTAAGCGATGGTGGTCAAGACCAGATTGGATGCTTAGAGTTCCAGATCACTGGCCAGTTCATGTTTGGTGTAAACCCTAAGACAAGTTGGCAGATTTGAGAACACGCACTCTGATTAAATAAAATCTGATAAAATTAAATCGGTATTCATCCTTATCGTGACTATAGCGAGTATTGGCATTGGTCTTTTGCTTCATTTCTAAGAACCAAGCCAACGCGAGAATGGTCACTTGAATACGGATGAGGTAAAGTGTTCTCTGCTTAGCCTTGATTCAAGAGATGTCTAAATTAGAATAGCAGAAGCGTCTACCTAAATAGGTACTTACAAAAATTGTTTCCATTTATTGATAACTTAGAAGTCATGCGACTGGGTGAACGACTTACTAATTTCAACTTACCTGATCACACAAATCATCTATATTTGTTACCAAAATAATCTATTTTAACTCAAATAGTTATTAGCTATTATCATAAATGGTATTTGAACTGTGGACCTCGCACGTTGCAATCACTAATTGTTCGCAAGTTCTGGATTTTAGGAATGAGAAATCTTATTCGTTCTATTTTAGCAAAGTGTGTGACTTGTTTTCGGGTTAAACCTGTACCCTATAAGCCATCTATGGGCAACCTGCCACCTTGTAGATCTCAACAAGGTTACAGTTTTCAACGGGTAGGGGTCGATTTTGGCGGTCCTTTTCTTGTAAAAGAAATTAGACGACGTAACGCATGGGTCAGTAAGACTTACATTTGCTTGTTCATTTGTTTATCTGTAAATGCAGTTCATTTAGAACGCATACCTAAACTGTCTACAGAAGCGTTTCTAGCCGCCCTCGACAGATTCCTGTCTCGACGTGGAATATGTCAACATATTGTGATAGATTGTGTCACTAACTTTATAGGCGCTAAATGATACCTTGAGGAAATGGTTACATTATTGATAGATAAAAAACAGGATATCTCTGATCAATTTACGTCTCGTGGAATCTCGTAGATACTAATCCACCTTCAACACTTCACTGTGGAGGCATTTTTGAAAGTGGTATAAAATCTACTAAATATTGTCTCAAGAGGTTCATAGGCTCACAAGTACGGACGTTTGAAGAACTAAATACAGTTTTAACTAAAGTTGAAGCGATGCTGAACTCAAGACCGAATAGAATAGAATAGAATAGAATAATTTTTTATTCATTATTCATTACATGTGTAATTCTTATTGAAAGTCATTTTTTACTTTACCACTGGTTTGAAAAACCCTCTGTCCTAAGAAGAAACAGCAAGAAACCCAGCGGGACTTTTTTAACAAAAATTTACAATATAAATGATTACAAACTATTTACAAATTTTATTTTAGAAACTGCTTGGAAGCGACCACCTCATTCCCAGTGGTTATTATCAACCATGTATTCATTTATACTATAATAACCCTTTTTATACAGTTTCAGCTTAACAAAACATTTAAACTTGGTAATAGAGAGAGCCTGTATACTTTCCAGGACCTTTTGTAATAGCGTATACATTTCCCCGAGAATGAATTACTGACTCTCTGGAGTAGAGGATCGTATCACTAGCTTGTGTTTATTACTAGTGTTTACAGAATGTATATCACTTTTTTTTACTAAAACTACCTTTGTTTTTGTGAACATACATTAAATTTTCGTAAATATTCTGAGAGGCCAAAGTTAAAATATTTATTTCTTTTAATTTATCTCTAAGAGATTCTCTCAGTTTTAGATTGTAAATAGCCAATTTGTGAGTTATCTTTTGAGCTTGGCGAAGTTAATGTTCTCACAGCCGGTCATTTTATTAAAGAACGTCCTTTAGTCGCTCTATCAGAACCTTCCGATGAAGATATGAATCCTAGAACACGCAGTTACGTCAAAAGGTCTCACAACGTTTTTAGAGTATTTGGAAAAATTATTATTGACATGCGCTTTAACAAAAGGTTAAGTAGTTTAAGGAGGATCACAAACATCCTAATCGTTTCAATCATTGAACCTAATCTGCCACCTAACGAAAGGTGCCTAGGTCAAGTAGTCCAAATTAACCTCGGAAAGCACAATATTGTCACAAGGTTGTGACCTCAAAGACTAAAAGAGGCTTACTTACAAGGCCAGTAGTCAAAGTCTGCCGTCTTCTTGTTAACTGAATCTTATTTTTATTATTTTGTTATGGGATATTAAGTTAGATTGTAAGTACTAATTTTTTAAAATTAAATTCACTAAGTTTGGCTTTCTTTTGTAGTTTTAGTGTAAGGTTATCAATGCACAGCTTAGTTCAGATATCTATTAAGTTTATATTAATGTATATTCTATGAGCAACTGGAGACCTGGAAAGCTTCCGGGACGATGGTTGTCTTGTGAAAGTCTTAGGTGATTTCTGGTGGGAGGGAATGTTGTGGCTTCGGAACAGCCCCGATATAATACCCTTTTCTCAAGTATTTTATCTCCTCCCACCTCCTCCATATACGCACTACTCAACAAAGGTGCGCTACCTATCGCCAAGAAAAATAAGAAGCAAGATGGCCGCGTACGCATAAACCGTGTTCGTTACCGTTCGTTTAAAAATTCTCAATAAATAAAGTTGTAAGACTATCGTGCAATCACTTGTGTCCATATACATTCGAAGTGCACTGTGGTGTCTGTGTATACACTAGAACTTTAAAATAAATATTTAGACTTCACCATAACCACGAGAAGTGCTCCAGTCTTGTGAGTATCCTTGCGTTATCAACCCAGTTATAAAGCTATTTTCGTTTACTTCCCGATTGGGATCATCGGGTTGGCCAGCCCTTGGTTTGGTTGTTCTCTGGTTCCCAAAACCACCCTCAAAACACTTTACGAAACATTCAAGCCGTAACAATAGTATATAAATAGTATGTAAATTAAAAAAATAATAATAAGTGAAATGTATAAAAGCTGTTGGTGTTCCGAAAAAAATAAATTACATCACACAATACAATAATACAATAATAATTTTAAGAATTTAATTCATAATAACACAGGAACACTAACAAAGCCAACAATAGAATTATAAGAACCAGCAACAATATGAGTTTTATTTCAACAGGTCTGGAATACTGCGAATTCTCAATGGTGCGTGAATTAACTGTTACGAGTATAACAGAAGCAGCGCAATATAATGTGTAGTTATTTTCAGCGATTTGTAAATACGAGATCAAAGCAATGTGCAGTATAAAATCATTTTACATTGTGACACAATATTTTTAATAATTATTTGAAATATGTAAAAATGAATGTTTCTTTCTTTCTTTCTTTCTTTCTTGGGGGAGGCGTATATTTGGAACGGTGTGGGAACGGTGACGGGTTGTAATGTAGATGATGATGATGTGTTGTATTATGTTTGTGTTCACATTTCCCATACCGTTCATTCAACAACGATGAATATTTGTTTAGTAGTATGCGCTGTGAAAGTTTTTGACAAAAATGAATATCTGTTTGTTTTTTTTTGTACTTTTTTATGCGTGCCTATACCATTCTTGTGATTACTTTGATTACAACTTTGATGAAATATGTAATCTAAATCAAATTTTTTTAGTCAGTAATATCGCAAATGTTACTGACTAAAAAAGGTATTGCAACGCATTACGAGCACAACTAGTTTCAAATAAAACTGACCTCAAAAAAAAAAATGACAAAATGAACCGCAGGACCCGACTCGTCGTCTTACCTTTTACGTTGCTTCCCGTCCCCACTCTGGTTATTGTCTACTTTCATCTGTTATTAATGTGAAATAGTTGTATATGTCTCTGATTTATGTACTATAAAAGGTAACTGTTATATAATTAATACGATTCTAAGTACGATGTTTGTCTTTCTACTAAAATTAATTATAACCATTATTAATTTATAATTCGAGTACTTGCAGAGTGTTATTAACGCACTTTCCCCAAAAGCAAAAGGCTGTTGATAATTGTGACCTTGAAATTTAAATGTAACATATTATATTTTTTCACGATTATTTAACCAACTTGTTTTAAAGAAATGTTAGGTGTGATAAATTACTAAAGAAGGTGTGGAGAACCATCTTCCACATATTTTTTGCTTGAAGTTTTTTTGCATGATAGAGTTCCGAGTGAGGATATCTGCAGTAAAACTAGAGTAACCGACAGGATAACTGAGATAGGCCAACAGGTCAATAAGCTGAAGTGATAATAGTCTGACCAAAGGAGTTGAAGAACCGAAAAACAACGCGGAA